ATAGTTATTTCGAGCGTCGTCGATGAGACACACGACACCGGCCAGGGAGTCGCGCGCGATCCCGATTCTCGGGTTGCCGGCGCCGCGTGCACTGTTGCGACGGTCTGGCTAATCGTTCATCTGTGTATTATTTAATTAAGCGATTCCTTCGAATCCATTACGTGCGAAAAAAGAACGCCGGGGGTTCCGTTTTAAATGCCATCACCTATTGTTTCTGCGATCTGTAGCGAATACAAAGAGAGAGAGATCACCGAGATAATAGACTCACATTTGCATTATAAACGTAAAGAAGGTGGCCGCGGCTAGTTACTCCGAGATGATGAACTTGAACGGTCGAGCCTTCGAATTTCGCGGATATACCCGGTAAACGCGCGTGGGCGATTTTAGGACGGTCGTAAATCTGTAGGTGCGTTAAACTTAATGGCAGTAGCGACGTATTGATGAATCGAGACTCATTTGCAGCCACGTAAATTTGCATGGTTGCAAACAATGGCCGTGCGGATTAACGAATTAAGGCGGCTAAGTGTGACAAATGTCGGATATTATTTCCGACGAGGGCACTCGGTTGAAAAAAACATTTCGAGCACGCATTAACGGATCGCGTCCATGTATGATTAATTCCACGCGCGTGGCATTCTATTCCGAGTAACAGCGATCCGTCGGCCAGCTCGATGATTCATTGCCGAAAATCGCTCTCGTTTTCCGACACGTCGCGCCGCGTCCCTCGAAATACCCCGGTCGTCGTCTTAAAGGCGCTTCGAATCGGAGAAATACTCGTGGGATTTTTATGAACCGTTACGTGCCACGAGTTTACCACGACACACGAGTTCCGCAATTAACGCAACCGTATACCGGGCTCGAGCAGAGCCGCCTCAGAGAGCCTCGTCCTCGCAGTTAGCCTGGGAATTTTTCGTCGCTCGACGGTATATCTCCGGTGGTATCGCGCGCGCGGACACCTCTTCCCGTGAGGTGCCGTGTAGAAATCTTCGATTCTTCCTTACTCGGTCGCAGGAAGTCGTACGTAATGGCTCCGCCGTGGCTCGGAGGTCAGAGAAGGGTATGTGGCGGGATACACAGCGGACGGACGGACGGACGGACTTCGCGGCCGGTGCGGCGTCCGTTCCGCAGCCTTAAACAACCCGTAAAGGTTTCGGGGATGCGCTTTCTTCGTTCTCAAATCTGAAACGCGCCGGAGCGTTAGTAGTGCAGAGGTGAGCGGCTGGGGTCGTCACTTCCGCTTACCAACCGGACCGCATTGGGCATTCGATTTGAAAGTTTAATCAGGGGCTTATATAAAATTACAGTCCCCTCGTCCTCGTTCGCTCGCGCGAGGAATTTCGCCGCGCGCCACGATTCGCGCGAGGGGAATCCACGCTCGATTTATACGATCCAAATTGATCCGCAATATTGTTTATCTTTAGCGTCGACGGGCAAAATTGTCGATCGGCAGCGCGTCCCACCGTAATCGTCGTAATCGATTTATTTACGGGACGCGTGATCGGCGCCACGCGCGCGTTTCGCGAGTACCGACGCGAATACAGATCGATTCCCACCCACGCGTCGCGTTTCGCCGCTCTTATACGACTTATACATACGAATCTGCACCGCATCTCGTCGCCTCGTCGTCGGGCAATGCAAGGGTGTGTTCGATCGGCGCGATTATTTGAATAAAAATGCGCGCTCGCCTTATAAAACGCGCGCGATCGAAAGCTTTCTCCTTGCTCCTCTCCGTGAAGCCTCCCGCTTGGCCCCCTATATCGGGGGCAGGAGGGGGAAGAATAATTTAACCGGGGAACAAGTGTGTCGTTGACGAGGAGAATGACGAAGGGAACGGGCCTCGAGTGCCCGAGCGCCGACCCGGTCGCCGTCGCTGCCCGTTTGCGCTGCGTGCCGAACCGTGGCACAGGACACACCGGTGCTCTCTTCCCTCCTTCTCTCCTCGCGAAGGCGAAGGCGAGGAGCCGCGGCGGAGATTCATGAGGCTCAACGGACATGCCGATTTAGGGGATCGCCGCCGCGGCCGGTGCGCGGCTGTTGTTCTTTGTCTCCCTGCTCGGCCGACTCTGACGTGCGTGCGGCGTGTCTGCCACTCTCGCAGGTCGCGGCCCGGCGATTCTCCCCGAGCTATTTGTAACGTGGTAGCAGGCGCGTCGGCGTGTGGAAGGATAACTGTCGCTTTTCCTTGACACGCATTGCGGAACGTCTCCTCGTTCGACATTCTCGGGCACTCGTGTCACTCGAGATTTCGGAGTAGAAAGGAGTCGAGAGAAGAGAGAACTTGCGTCTCTCCGTCGGGAAGCTCCGCGCGTCGCGTCGTCCGATTAAACGGTTTACAAGCGCGTTTCGCCACGGGTAGTAAACCGCGCGTGCAGCACACCGCGCACCGGCGCGTCTCGCGATATATCGCGTAAATTAACGCAATCGCCGCGAATCCCATTAATAACGTTTTCGCTATCGTTGACAACGTTCCGCGTCTTATCTCGCGCGAATCGACGTATATACGAGAGGACGACACGAGCCCTTTCCGCGAAGCGAAGCCGCGCCGACGCGAGCCCCAGCCACGGAGTTTGACAAAGGACGCGACGTTAACGCGCGCGACGCCCGTCGATGCATCAGCGTCCGGCGATGACTCCTGGCAAATTAATATTTTCGAAACGACGCGCGGCTCATTGCATTCGCGGTTGGAGACTGCTTCCTCTACTCCTGGTGCAGTCACCCCGACATGAATCATTAAAGAAACAATGCTGAAGGCAGTGGCGTATCTATCGTAACGCGTGGGTGGCGCAGCTGCGCCGACGCCGACGAAACCCGGGGGAATCCTGACCGCGGATCTTAATGGCTTTTAATTTCGTATCTCTCTGCCGTCGCCGTGAATACGAGCTCTTTCTGCGAGGAATGTTAGTAAACGAGTTCCACTACTGTCAGAGACGCACAGTTTTTATCTTCTTTTTTTCTATTGCACAAAAATGTTCGATTATTGGAATGTAACGTAATGCGTTGGTCATCAGAAAGGCACTTAAAAATAATGAAATAAATTCGTATAAAAATATATCCGATTCCGTCCAGTTTTAAAGCTACCATTTTCATTTTCTACTCGAGTTTGTTGTTTGTCTGCAATCCTCTCGTTATCCTTGTTATCCAAGTGTTACACGGATTTGCTGGAAATCTTCAATCGGACGACAGAGTACATTGTGTCAATGAACGTGTTCCGTAGACAATAGATTTCAATCCTACATGTAAAAATCTAACGGATTCATGCGCGGATAATGGAACCTGTTTCGTTTGTTAGGAAATCGTCCGTCCGAGAAATATCGCTGAAACGCGAAGCCTCGTTATGACGCGGAAACAAGGCGAGATCGGACGCACGTGAATTATTTTATTGCTTTTTTGTTTAATTGCGATGAAATCTGCGCCCACACAGTTTACTTCGAAGAGAATTCAAGTCCATCTCTCGGACCTCGGGAAATTTTCTAAAACGCCTCGTGTAAATCTCAATCTATTTAATCGCGATATAAAACCGCATTCTCTTCGGTAAGCCGTGATTCGTATCGGACCGTATTCGATACGATATACTTCGATACGAAGCAAGCCGCCGGTTTTATCAGCCGACGGAACGTGACTCTTTCTCTCCATCTCTTTCTCTCTTTCTTGGACTATGTGTTTCTCCCTACCGATATAAAGGGTGACAAAAACGAGCGCGTCTAACCAGCGCGAGGTTTATTGAATGAAAATGCCGGTACGTTTCTTTCTTTTTTTTTTTGACCGACGTGCGTCGCAGCATCTCGCCGAACGCCGAATGAAACAATGGCCATTATATGGAACATTCGTGCGCGCGTATCGTGCACACATTCGCGGAATATCGTACGTGTGCATTAACGTGTGTCGCAGCGCAGTTTGCCTAGGACACCGTGCATACGCGTGTGTATGTGTAGCTGCGAAAATGTGTGTTTGCGCGCGCACGCGCTCGCTCGCTCGCGCGACAGACAGCTGTTCGTACTATTATACCCGGCGCACGGTCGCATAATGCCTTAAGGACAATCGTGGGAATTCCATTAAGTGGCCTTGAATGGTTCATTCATGTCGATCAACTCTTTTCCTAACGGAACGGTTGACAGATCAATCGGCCGCTCGGGCACGAGAGCCGACCCACGGCGATTTCATTCGCTCGTTCTCGAGATCGGGAGAAACGCCGGAGTCAATTACTACCGGGCGCAGCCGTGACACCGCGATCGTCGGGAGGAACACCGGAGTCATCGACGTCGGGAATGTTGGTGCCGGTTCGAATCGATCGACTCCTAGCGCGGCCGCGGCTTATCACAGTTTATTCCTCGGCGAATCGCGATTGCGTTCGATTGCACTCGCACGTGAACGCACCGTCGCGCTTTCCGCTGTTGGACGATCAATAAGCGATTACTAGATCAAATACCGGGATCCATTATGACATTCAATTTGGATGGACGTTCGGTACGCGTCGAGATTTCAGCAATATGTCCCAAAAGTAACAAACGAATGACGGATAACGTAATTTCGACAAAACGATTGTGTAAAATTAATAAAGTGGTATACGATAGTAGCAGCTGTCCTTGGGAAATATACTTCGTTCAAAAAGCATTAACGTACGATAACATAATAATGTACAAAGAGCGTTAGGAAAATATTACAATGAAAAAGCAGTAATATGAGAGATAAAGGACACTTAAGAGACACGATAAATGTACCAATACCTGAACATGTACCTATGTCTGGATACCTTAAAAAAATTTAAATTTATGGAAATAAACGTTTGGCTATTAATAACTAAAGTTTCAAACTACAAGAAAAAATATTGTTGTCTTTGATTTTAATTCGCGTTATACTTATAAATAATAAAGGTGCCCAGGTATTGGTACCTTTACCTTACGAGTATAAGAAAGACTGAAATGATAAATAGGCAAATAATAATTAATTATTTGATCGAGGACGGTTAAGAATACGAACGCATTCTTCTTCGACTTTTGCAGGATGCTGGACAATTATGACAGGGGTGAGGTGACACCACCACCGGCGGTGAGCGGTTACGGCGGCTCCGCCGGGCTCCTGGCGCTCCATTCCTCGCTCTACGCGACTCCCACGTCGAGGGCCTACGACATCGACTCCGGTATCGACGGCAACGACAGCTCGATGCCCATGGACACCCAAATCATCTCGGTACGGCCTTTCGATTCGATTTCGGATTCCGCATATAGACCGTCGTTCTCGAAATAGATCCGCGTGCCTCCGCGTTTGCACACGTTGCGTACATTCTCGCGCTCGGCGTTGTAAACACACCTACGTAAAACGTTCACGACAACGCGCGCGTACAATCGTTCGGGAACGCATGTGGGAATTGAGTCGAACCGCCGCCCCGCCGCGCGCGGAATAATGGCAGCCGGAGGGAACGATAGCAAAATCGTATGTCCGGCGCGAACGCGATCGACTCATTAATCCCACGTTTCGTTCTGTCGTTAGTCGTCGCTCGGTATCTTAATGACGCGATTGTCGGCGCCGTAACGCCGTTCGCCAAAACAAATATCCACCGTTCGACGTCTTCATATATATCTCACTCGAGAACCTCTCGTTGCAGTTACGTCGCGTTGTTTAGGACTCGCGCGGAGAGAGATCTTTTCACGCTCTTGAAACACACACGCGTCGTCGGGTAAATAAACGTCCACGAGAGTATATGTCTCACGAAACACGCCGTTTCCTGAAACCAGATACCGAGCATGCTGACCGGGCCGGCGCAACAGCGGCTGGAGGACATGCCCTGGCTGGCCTCCGGCCCGTCGCTGGAATACCAGCCGGGCATCTCGCCGATTCCCGCGGGAGTGAAGATGTGCCATCCCGGCGGCGGCACCGCCCAAAGGAGCCTCAAGGAGCAACGGATACGTCGCCCGATGAACGCGTTTATGGTCTGGGCAAAGGTCGAGCGCAAGAAGTTGGCCGATGAAAATCCCGATCTCCACAATGCCGATCTCAGCAAGATGCTTGGTAAGTGCGCATGAAATATTTCTCCCCTTTTCCCCTTTCCTAGAACGATCAGAAGGCTTGTAGTTCTCATAATTTACGGATCTAGAATCTCCAATGCTTTTAATAGAGCCACTGATGTATTCACGCATTTTCTATGTTAAGCAGATCGGTCGATTTATTAAAAAAACATTGTATCTTTTAAAATGCAATTAAGGCGCATCGAGGTTACCTCGTTATAGGAAAATTGCCTATCGCCGGATACAACAGAGGTCGAGGTACAAGATTACGGTCTCGTCTTTTAATAAAAATACACGTGCGCGGAAACAATGTTGGCGCGCTGCTCGCGGGAAAATGGCTTTTCCACCGGGAAACCGAGACTCTGGGAATAAGAAAGCAGGAAAAAAAAATCTTCCACGCCGCGCGGCGCGTTATCATTAAATTAATTACAGGCGTCGGGCGAAAATATGGAATTAATTCAATTACGCGTTAGAGTCGAAGCTGAATTTTTAACAAGACGAGAAGAAAGGTGTGAGAGCTCTCTCGAGGATCGCAGCCGAATGAGGGAAAAAAACTCGTTAACGCAGTAGTTTTTTTCCGCCGAAACGCGTGATCGAGGACCGCGAACCCGGTCACCGCGCGAATATAATTCGCGATCTCATCTCGTTCGTATCGCGAACCCACCTGCGCGATCGAGATAGGGAAATCGTTCTCTTATCGCGCCGCGCCACTCGCGCGTTCGAGTACTCTTCGCGAATGTGACTCCGATCGTTACGTTATCGCTCAGCGATTCCCCAGCAACGTCTCTCTAAACGTACGCGATACAGACGTTCGAATAACGACGGCGGCACGCATCAGCAACTCCTTCGTTCCGACGATTCGATGCGCGAATCGCCGATTTCACGAAAACCAGCGTGCTTTGCGGACGGTCTTGCGGTTCTTCCTTTTCTCTCCTTTTTTCCTCCTTTCTCCCCGTCATCCTTGGCGTGTCTCCCCGAGTGTTAAAACCAAGACCCCATCATCCGGTACCTAACGATCTGTCAGCGCCGATCGGCGCTCTCTCTCTCTCTCTCTCTCTCTCTCTGCTTCGCGCGCGTTATCGTGGGCAGGTACACCTTGAATTATCGGCAATTGGCATCCGCAACGTTATTGGCATTTGAACGATCGAGCGGCCGTCGTGCAGAAAATTGTAAACTTCTCCTCCACCTACCTGCCTTTACCTCACCCGTTGCCCATTTCCAGCGTCCTGCGCGAGGCACAGTGTGTTTAGTGTTTACACTCGCGCGCGCGTGTGCTGCGTGCACACGTGCTCTCCTTCACCTCCTATACCCCTTTCCTCCACCTCCTATACCCCTTTCCTCCACCTGGAATTGCGTCTTTTTCCCTTTTTCACTTTACCTTCACTCTCTTTGTCTTTCTGTCTTTCTCTCTCTCTCTCTCTCTGTCTCTCTCTTGTCTCGCGCCGACGTGCAAACCCGTAAAGCCGTAAATCACCAATTTGCCCCCTCCGCTCCCCATGTTTATCTCTCCCTCGTCTCGCGGCCTGTTATCGGTACGGAATAAGGAAAACTCCGTTGAGTTTATCGATCAGACATTAGGCGATCGGCGCGATGTTATTGGCATGACGCGGCTCCGATTACTATGCACGCCGGGTCTTTCGCCGCCCCCACTCTTTCCCTCCGTCTTCTTTTTTTTCTCTCCAGACATCCTACATATTCATGCGCGTGCTGTGTGTCGATCCGTCCATCCCGTCTATCCATCCGTACGTACGTACGTACGTCCGTTAGCTCGTCCATCCGCGCGCGCGGAACACACGCGCGTGCAGCGGAGCGCGCGCGTGCGAGCGTGTTTTGCGTCGGCGTGCGCGCACACGCGTCTTCGTACGTCCATTGTACATGTATACACACACACGAGTGAACGTGGTATACGTGTACGTCACTGTCGATGTCTCGGAGCACGCAACGCACGATATACGCCGATGAGGGCCGTATGAGCACCTTATATCCGGTGACACGCGTGTCCGCGCATCTTTATTTAATCGTTGGCCCCGACCGTTAGCCCGCCTTCGGGATCTCGCGTCTGTCAACGTTAGAAATTAACGCGTTCGCGCGCCCCAAATCGGGTAGTCATCTCGGACGATCGCGCGTTGTCGTCGTCGTCGTCGTCGTCGTACCGTCGCGTATGGCTTTCGCGGAGCCATGTCGTTAATTCCGCTGTTAATTAGCGGAACGCCCGCGACGGCGACGGCGACGACGACGACGACGACGATGGTTTATCGCGCGAGATTGTTTATCCGCGAGATCGGCACCGCGCGCGGAGCGAGAGACCCACGACGATATACCGCGCTGTTGTCTCGTATATAGCGCATAAACGCCGCGCGACGCCACTGCGCCGTGTCGCGGGACCACCTACGACAAATGTGGCAGCCCGCAAATAATACCGGGCGTGTGTTGTACTACCACCGGCGACAGCGCCGAAGATACAGAGGGCTCTAAACTGCCAACGCGGTATCGTGGTTTAGTGCCTCCGATTACTTCCCTCTCCCTTCCCTATACGGGTGACATGCGTGTATACGGGATGTCCCCTCGAGAGACAGAGACAGACAGAGAAAGAGATCGTTAGACAAAAATGCACGAGACAACGATTGTTTCGAAATATTGAGGGAGCGCCAAACGAGGTTTATTATTCGGTGTCGAAACTCGAAGGATCCTGGCTCGAGTAAATCTTGGAATCTGTAAACGGATAACGAAATCTAGCTTCTTGTTTCATTTTTCGCGGAATATTATCTTGGCGGGAATCTAATCTACGAGCCGGTTGTTCGGAATCATCGTTAGAAACTAAGAATCTACGGTAGTCGAAATTTTCGTCAACGAGACGCTATTTTAAGTCGGTCGAAGAGGCCACGAACGGACGAGAACTCTGTATATTCTTCCCCGCGAGAGGATATGTTCGTCTTCTCGTAAAATACCGAACCGCCTTCCGTTTGTGGCCCTTAAACGACGGATCGGCATGTACGGTATCTCACCATAATGGTGCTCGCCGCGGAAGGGCCGATAACGTCGACGTCGTTGGTCGATTTAAGGGACGGTGCGCCGGCCGATTGAAAATTATTGGCCGTGCAGGTATATACCAGCCGTGTTTCACACGTCGTTTCTCTCCGAAACTCTCGATTCCAAGAGTCGACACCGATAATTACACACTTTTGGACCGAAACTAAAATTTCCGCGAGGATATCGATCCTGTTTAACGAAATCGCGCCGCCGGGCGTAAAAACGTTCGGCCGTCTCAAGCGTCTCGATATTAAATATATTATTGAGATAATAAAACGTAATAAGCCGTGCCGAGAGACACGGTGACCTTTTAAATCGCCGCGAGATGGGATAGATAGGGGAAAAGATTGGCGGCCGATTGAAATTAAATAGACGCGGTGGAAGTGCGTAAGAACGGTCTGAACTCCGAGGGAAAGGCCCACTTTTCTTCGCTTACGTACAATACGTGCATATACTTATATCACTCTCCCGATGCCCCATCCTCCCTTCCTCCTCGCCACCTCCCCCCCCCGTTCCGCTTCCCCTCCGTCTCCACATCTCGGCCGGCTCTCGAACAATAGCACCTCGGCTGCACGGTGGATGAACTTCTGAGGCTGGAATCGGCTCTGCCCACTCTGTAAATTGCGTTTTCGTAAAAATATTCATAGAGGAGAAAGAAGAGAGGTCGGGCCGATCTAAAGCGGCAGCCTACATCCTGCTGCACGGCTAAATGCAGCGTGGATATATAGGTCTCGATCGCTGATACGCCATTGTACAGAAAAATGGATCATCGAGCGAGATTTCGACACGGCGAACACGGTTGAGTGTAGAAACGTTACGCACGGAGAGAATACCGTAGTATCAATCACGTAAACATATCTCCCTTTATCGTAAAATTGGAATATAACGACGTTACAGTAACTATTACTATAAAAATTAATAACCGATTATATTGTATTTTTATCAATCATGTTAGTAAAAAGTATACATTATAAATTTATTATTACGAACGATATTTCCTCGCAAAGCGCTTTTTTTTATAATCGTCACAAAACCAACGTTGTTTTCTCGCGAATCGTGCTATGCAAACATATAAAAATCTACGCATTAATCGCGAATGGTTATATCGTTATCGAATCGTTTACGATCTCGTTTTTCATCCCACGCCCAGGATTTACACAGGGAAGACTCTTTTTCCATCTTATTTTAATTCAATTTGATAATGAAACCGGACTCCGTGCCTTCAATTAAATTCGTTCATCCTTGTTATGCCGTCTTCGTCGTTCTCTGCTCTCTTCTCTCTTTCGTGGCCCGAGTCCGACCCGCGGAGAAGCTTGTTCGTTTTTCTACGACGATGCTCGATTAATCCGAGACAAGATCGGCCTCTCGTACGATCACGAAACTCATTTGTTTCTCTATACCGTCCGCGCACACGGGCGCATTAGTAAACTCGTTTCGATCGGGCGCGTTTAAACCGCCACCATCATCATCAATCTGGCAATCATCGACTAGTAAAGTTGTTCGGCGATCGGCTCGATCGGCGCAAATCGGTTTAGCGCAAGTCGGCGTATACGCGTTTCTCTCGTCCGGCGTTACGGTATTTAAAAAGTCGCGCGTAATCGTGGTTGTATACACTTCTCTTATAGGGTATCCGCCGACCGAGTCGGTTGATGTTGCACCCGGTTAAATCTCTCCGAGCGAAACCTCTTTATGCACGTTCGCCTTCGATCGATCGTACCGACAAAAGTCTCGTGCGAGGGCATTACGCACGGACGTAAGCAGAGAGGAAAATGCCTCCTCTCTAGCAGCCGTAGTAGGCGAAGCAACATAACGAACCGCGAGACAAGATCGGGACCAATAATTGCGCATACATATAAAATGAGGCCGGGCGAAGGGCGAGGGGCGATCGTCGGAGGAACGCACGAATAAACGGACGGACGTGTATACTGCAAACGCCGTACCCCGTGATCGGAAACGCATCGCAGCCACGAGCGC